CCCTGCCCACCCCCGTGCCGCTGGAGCTGCGCTGGCTGGGAGGTTTCCTCGGCTCCGGGGTATTTTCCCTCTTTTTGCACAGAACAGATGGGTTTGGGGCTGCACACTGAGAAGGCTGAAGCTGCCAGAGCCTGTCCCTGCCCAAATGCCTCCTCTGGCACCCGCCGAGCATCGCCATCGCGCCGGGAGCCCGGCACGAGCCACGGTGGCTTCGCAGCGGCAATGGGTGGGTGAGCTGCCACGGGCAGAGCTGCACCGCGGCGACGGTTCCCTTCAGGATGCGATTTCGCTGCCGCTCCTGGAGATTTTAAGGCACGTCCCGGCTGTGGGCTGCCCTGGGTCAGTCACCTCGCAGGAGCAGAAGGGAACTCGGTGCCTGCTCCTGCTCGCACAAGAACTGCTCATTTCTGAACTATTTTAGGGCTTCATGGAAGTAATGTGGAGTTTCCAAAAAGGAATTAAAATGTTCTGTTGCACCCACAGACACTGCTGTTGTCTCCAGGCTTTACACGGCAGACTGACAAAGGGCTGGTTTCCACTTTAAAGCCAGGACTCTAAAAATACTTCAACATAAAGAGCAGGTTTGAGAAATCTGAATCATCTTATCTGTGCATCTGCTTCTCTCCTTGAAAGGACTGCAGCCGCAGCTTTGGCAGCCTGCGAGCCGGGCTGCAGCGCTGCCATTAGTGCAGCGAGGCATGAAGTTAATCATCCGAGATGGGAGTGGGATTCTGGATGAAACAGTGCACAAAGCAATAACAAAGTCTATGAAAAGATGATTAAATTTAACAGCTCCAGCTAGGTAGAGCAACCAGAGAATTGGTGTGACATGAGATGCTTACAGAGTTAACTGCAGTCGGGAGGTGGTGGAAACGCCTGGCTTTGCTGAGAATTCTCTGAAGTGACGTGGGTTACGCGGACACAGAACCCCCGTCAGCATTTAGCAACTTTTAAGTAATAATGCAATCATTTCAAGTATTTGCTTAAACATTATACAAGCACCTTAAAAAGCAGGGTAAAGTGGTCCAACTCTTACAATTACATAAAGGCAGAAATATAAAACCCCCTGCTAGACCAAAGCCCTCCCACCTGTCCGGGGTGTGTTCTTCAGGCTTTGGTAAATAACCCCCAAAACGGTTTTGATGTTTTCCTTATTGCCAGATCTCACCCTCCTGAAATGCTTCTCCCTTCTCTTACGGCCGGTTACAAATTAACCAGCGATTATTAATGTTTACACTCTATTTTTCTACAGATTCAAGGTTTACAAACACTCCACTTTCTCATCCCGATGTTAAAGTGAAGAAAAGGCAAAGGTCTGTCTGCACTTCCCATACAAAACAAGCAGGCATTTCCAGGGTGAAAAATGACTTAGTTCCCTTAGAGAAAAGGATGAAAAAGCGTAGGAGGGCTCAGGAGAGGAACCCCCCCTGTGTGCTCCTCTCCTGTCAGGGATGAACATTCCCTGTGCCCACGGCACGCGAGCTCTCTGCACGTCAGGGCGCCCCGGGGCCCGCTGGCTCTCGGGGCACCCACCGCCCCCCGACCCTCACAAGCGGCGTCACCCCAACATCCCAGCGAAAGCTTCCCAGGGCCGCAGGGACCGGTCACGCCGCGGGACGGGGCGGCGCTGCCGCCCCGGTTATCACGAGGACACGGAGCGGCGGGGACGGCTCAGAACCGTCCTGGGGCAGCTGGGCACGGGTGACCACCAGAGCTGACCGCTCGCCGGCCGATCGTCCTACAAGTGAAAGATTTCGGCCAAGCACAGAAATCGTGGGGAAAAAAGGCATTCTCCAGCTGGAAAGGGAGTTAATTGCCCTAATGCCACGGCAGGAGCAGTTTCTCCTTTTGAAGGAGCAGAACTGCTCTGCAGCGCCCAGGGCTGGGTGGACAGGCGGTGCCGGGGGCTGACGCTGTGCCTGCGGCCACCTGGGTCCCCGGGGAAGACAGGGAGCTCCGTGCTCCCAACTGGGCACACTGGAGGAGGTGCTTTCCCAGTGTTTCCCATGATAATAAGGACCTGCCTTTCGCCAGAGCTGTCGGGGGTTTCAGCCTGTTCCAGACCCTCTGCCCGGCACCGGAGGAGGGGGCTGGCTCCCGGACCTGTCACCCCGGGGCTCCAGCGGTCCCCAGCACCTCCCGGCGGAACCAGT